TTTTAACCTTTTTATTGTGTGATCATAAGTGACTAGTTTATTATGTTAATGATTATACTACAATGTTCTATTAGGCGTTTTAGTTTACGGTTGTAGTTATGAACTTTCAATATAATTGAGATATATTTCTACTTTTAATAAAACTAGCACACAAACCAATTTACCATAGTGGTTAAAGAAATTATTGTGCTCCTACAACTCATAAGTTTTAGCACAAACGATTGCAGCAAAGTTATTGAGCGATCATTGTCAAATGATTGAGAGTAATTCGAACAAATGTTACTTTGTAATCATCTTAGCTTAATAAAAAAAATAAAACTTATATTTTGTTATAAAAATCATTGAATTTATATTTTTCACGATAAAGTACAAAAATGGTTACCCTACTATAGGATTAATTTTTCCTTTTCCAACCATGTCACCATGGGTGTTAAAGTTTTAATGTATTTTAAAAAGTAATTCAGTTTAAATATATACTATATTTGTCCCACTAAATGTATCTTTTTTTTAAATTATCTTATTTAAATATTATATTAAAAAATCAATGAATAATAATACTTATATTTCTTTTTTCACTCTTATATATCTCTCTTTTACATTTATCGAATTAAATATGTTAAATTTATCAATCAACTTTTAGATATAATTTTTTTTATTAAATATATCTCTTAAAAATTATATTTAGGGTAAAGTATAGTAATGGTCACTGAACATTTCTGAAGCTTGCATTTAGGTTCTTCAATTTTTAAAACTTGCAATATAATCCCCCAACATTTAATTCGTTTGCAATATGGTCCCTGCACCTATGAAAATTAGGGTAAATTATATAAATGGTCACTGAACATTTTAGGTACTTGAATTTAGGTCCCCCAACTTTTAAAACTTACAAAACAATCCTCAATTTCATTCTAAACCACAAATTCCAAAGTAATTCAATTTCATTCTAAACCCTAAATTCCAAAATAATTCAATTACATTCTAAAACCCAAATTCTAAAATACTTAATTTCTGTCTTTTTTATAAACGACGCCAATGTCACTAAATTATTAATTAATTTATTTTTTATATTTAAAAACATATGATAATTTTTTAATATTAATTTAAAGACATTAAAATTTTTCAATAGTAAGAATATATGATAATAATTCATTTATTTAAAAATAAATATATTTCTGATTATTTGTGTATGTTTTTATATCTAATCATACGTGTTAATATATTTTATATCTTTCATATAAATATTAAGACTACATAAATAGCAGAGTCAAAAATTTATATATGAGGTATGTTAATTATAGTAATGATGTATAAATATATTTTATTTTTATATTATTTCTATTATAATTAAAATATAAATATTACCATGATAATTAAATATTTATTTACTTATTACATCAAATATTTTTTGTAGAAAAACTATTTAATAAAATCATAAAAAAACACATTAAAAAAATAAACACTGAAGTTGACTACTTCAAAAATAAAATAAAAAAAATCAATAATTTAATATAATATACCCTAAGTTGATGATAACAATCAACTCAAAAGAGATGGGGTTTGTGCCATGTTTTCGTAACGTACGTAAACTTTCTATTTCATGGTCACGTATTCTTTTAGTTCTAGCACGATCTATTTTTTAATTTTCTAATACACTTAACAAAATTATATTATAACTCCGTTAAGTGATTTCATAGGTAAACAAATGTTTTTTTTTAAAAAAGTTTTAAATTCAAACAATTGTGTTTGTAGGGTATATCTATATTATTAATAAATTAAAAAATTTGAATAAATACTATCTTATAATCACATCGAACTATTAAAAAACTAAATTATAATTGAAATAAATAAAAATTATAAGGATGTCAACTAGGGATTTTAATTCTTAATTTTTTCATTGAGAGATTGTGTTTTTTTATTCAATTTCTTCCATAATAATTTTTTATATTTAAATTATTGAAGGTCACTAAATTTACATTTACGAGGAGGCAGTGTATTTTTCTTCTTCACAAAAGTAAAAAAATCAAAACGCTATCACGTTCTTAAAGATAATCTAGTATATTCCTCCTTAAATTGAAATATTTTAGAATTTGGGTTTTAGAATGTAATTGAATTATTTTGGAATTTAGGGTTTAGAATGAAATTGAATTACTTTGGAATTTGGGGTTTAGAATAAAATTGAGGAATGTTTTGTAAGTTTTAAAAGTTAGGGGACCTAAATTCAAGTGCCTAAAAAGTTCAGTGACCATTTATATAATTTACCCTAATTTTCATAGGTGCGGGGACCATATTGCAAATGGATTAAATGTTGGAGGAATGTATTGCAAGTTTAAAAGTTGAAGGATCTAAATGCAAGCTTTGAAATATTCAGTGACCATTACTATACTTTACCCTTATATTTATTATAAGATAAATTATATGGATGGATGGTTAGTAATGAATTATGAGATCGGTAAACAAGTGTAATGATAATTTTTAAACCTCTCCAATCTACATCTAACTGCTCACATCCACGCTGTCTTTGTTTTTTTCAATTTTGCCCCTCCTGTTTTAGATTTTAAACAGTTAAATGCCACAATATCTCAACTATTCTATTCGTTTTAATAAAAATCATATATGCAAATTTATGTATATAAATAAATATTATTTATTAAAAAATAAATTATAATTTTAAATTAAAAAATAAATTATTATTTTAAATTAAAAAGTTGATTTATTTTAACTTCAAACAGATTATTTATTTATTTTATAAAGATAAAATAAAGAGTTTCATTAAAGAAAAAAGAACAAGAACAATAAATGATCCAATCATAAATACAGTCCCGATTTTCCAGACCCATTTCGTTTAAGAACTCTAATCCTAACCGAATGCTGTGTCGTTCTCATCGTTTTCAAATAAACTAAAACCCCTCTCTTAATTCTCTATTTAAAACCAGCCGTAAACAGTTTTTCGATTGCCCTTGATCACGCTGCCTTTTCTCTCTCTTTTTTCTTTTTTGAATCCGAAAGATGGGGTGCATTGTGGAAGAAGACGATGGAGACGAAGTTATAATGGAGCCGCCATCCAATTTTTCTATGGTGGACGAAGGGATTTACAGATCTAGTTGCCCTCGACCCGCCAATTTCTCCTTCTTGGAAACCCTAAACCTCCGATCCATCATGTAACGTCTTCTTCATCTTCTTTTTTATTTTGGTTTTCAGTTGCATTGATGAAGTGTTTTTTTTCGTTTGGTGATGCGCTTTTCTTCCTTGTTTTTAAAGCTTTTTTGGAAGCTTGATTCTTCTCCTCAGTGCCGTCGGTTTTCTTGATAATTAAGATTTTTTTTGGAACTTTTTTCCGTTTGCTTTCTTGACTGTTGCGTTTATTAGAAAATCAAGGGAAAACTATCTATCTTTTTCTTTCCTTTCAATTTTGCAGATATTTGTGTCCGGAGCCATACCCTGAGGAGAATATGGAGTTTCTTCGAACTCATAATATCACGCTCTTTCAGTTCGGTATTGAAGGGAAAAGGGTATTTCCCCTATACTTCTATGCCAGAGTTTTTAAGCTGATCACTTTTGGAATATGCATATATTGAATTTAAGTCGTTTTCATCTTTGAATAAGTGAAGAATCAGTTGCCAGTTTTCAAGAAGTTCTGAGGAGTTAATAAAATTTGTACGAGACTTTTGTGTCACCATTGACTACCCAACCTATTTAAATTTGGTCTAGAATGTAATTCTTTAGTTCTTGGACTTGTTAAGATATAAATTTTAGAAAGCTGAAGAATTAAGAAGGATCTTGAATGCGAATAAGAATAAATTATAAATGAAAAAAAATTAGTCTTAGAAGCAAAGATAATTTATTTTTTAAATCTGGGATATGATATTTCTGTTATTAACGTTACTTTTGATTCCCAATAGCTTACTCTTCTTTTTTTTTTTCCATTTTTTTTCCAGGAGCCTTCAGCTGCTACCCTCAAGAATGCAATCTGGGGAGCTCTCAAGATTTTAATCGGTATGAAATTCATAAACATTGGAATTGAACCTTTTGTTTCATCTTTGTACCTTGGTGATTTACCTTTGCCACTTTTAATATAAACTTGTTTCTTCACAGATGTGAGAAATCATCCTGTTTTGATCCACTGCAAGCGTGGAAAGGTAATAATCCAAATTCAGCTATTATCCTAAAAATATTAGCTTAGTTTGAATTAAATATCGGGTATACGAATTATGTGGTTAGGCATTCGGTTTTCCTTGAGGTTTTAGGTTGGCTGATAAGATATTTGATCCATATGTATATATGACTCTTAAGTTGAATCAAATGAAAGCTACATGAAAAGAACTATGACTCTTATGTACTTGATTTTTGTTCTTTTTCCCAGTGACATCAAAGGGGCTGGTTTCATTTTTCTTTAATGAAAAATTATGTCATCTTTTACTTTTTTATCCTTAATGCAGCATCGGACTGGTAGCCTTGTTGGTTGCTTGAGGAAATTGCAGAATTGGTGCTTGTCATCTGTATTTGAGGAGTACCAGCATTTTGCTGGCATTAAATCCCGACCTACTGACATGATATTTATTGAAACGTTTGATGTCGTGTGCCTGAGGCAGTGTCTTCACAGCCTTATTTATCAGTACCATGGATATGGTTCAAAAAAGAGGCGGCTGCTGTACAGAGAAGACAATGTACAAAAGCCCCGATTAGCGTCTGTTTAGCTGATCTTACACATTTATTTTGCGTCTGTTTAGATGGTCTTACACATTTATTTTGTATACTGTCTGTGACAGAGATATAGGTTTTTCAAAAATTAGTTTTCCAGTTGCTGTTTTACAGCTTATAGAAATTGTGTGAAGTGCCTTAGTTTTTCAAGTATATTTTATTCTATTATTCAAGTTTTAAATTTTATTCTTTTTTATTTTTAATATAAAATAGACATTTCATTTTATTTAAAAATACTACAAACAGACAAAACTGATATGTGTAAGATCAGCATAGAGATTAATTAGAGCTTCTGTAAATTATCTCCTCTTTACAAAAGCCATCTCTTTCGAGCTGAAAATATGGTACATTGGTACTGGTAAATGATCCCTGATGTTACATGCTTGCCTGCTTACTTGTCAAATTAGGTGCTCTTCTAGCCCCCTTTCCTGGCCTGAGATTTTTACTGCTCTGCTTGTGCCAAGGTTCGATTGTTGCTTGCTTGACCTCTCCAGCTGGTGTTTCTGATGTGATTAGGTACAGGCAGCTGCCCCGAACCAGCCTGTCAAGGAGAAACGGTTGCATTACATAGGGGGTTGGGTCAGCCCCATATATTCCGGTACTGTTCTCAACGGATCAATTGCTACAGAGTTACTTTTTGGTGTGTGTTTTCTCATTGTATCGGAGACACATGCTTCCCAAGTGTAGTTGTCAATGGTAGGAGTGGGGAACCTTACTTGCATTGTAGAGATCTCCAATCTATTTTAATAATAAAAGAAGAGCATTTTCGTATTTCTGTGTCTGGTTGATGTCTCCTTTAAAGCATATATTTGCTGTGCCTATTGTGCTACCCTTATTAGTCTTCATGATGCATGGAATTTAATTGGAGACTTGATAAATATATCAGTTAAAGAGAAAGCACGAGCAGCAGCAGCCTATTACTAAGAAATAATATTCCTGATCATCTCACAACATCAAATTTGCAGGATAAGATCATTCACATTCTAACATCAGACACAATTATGACATTCAGCAATAAAGGGATGCACAACAGTGTAAGCTTATTAAATGATAGCTTTCTTCTAACCAGCAGCAACTCGAATAACAACACATCGCCTCTCGAGCCTTTCAAATCGATAAACATTTTCACACTCAGTTACTAATTTTATCCTAACTTGAGCAGTAACATAACATTCAACACTGGACAAGAGCAATCACATTCAAATATTACATAAAACTAAGTACTGAAGAACCGATTTAAGGTTACCTAAATGAAGCTTTATCCTGCAGCAGCATTATAAACTCAAGGAATCACATTACCTGCCACAAAGATCGTTCTTGGGACTTTTGAGTACAACCCTACAGAAAGAAAACAATTTTTTTGATCCAAGTACATAACACTCGATCACTAATTTGGAGATGTACAGGGAGATTCAGCGGCATGGAAATCCGAAAATTTGGAACTGTTGAGGCAATTGAACCTGATGAATGAGTTGCAATGCATTTTAGGTTCAGCGTGAATACACATTTTCGATTATGGGAAGCTCTTTCCAGATGCTTTCTCACGGGACATCCGAGACTTTTGCATTTGTGGTAGCTCCTATAAGACAACAAGAAAGTTTTACAATAGGATGGTTCATTTTCAATTTACCCCTGCATCATTGGATGGTTCTTTTACACGTGCAAAAGACATTAATCAAGTGAACTTAATAATTATTAAAGCTTTCGCACGAATCAAGTGACCTCGATGATAAACGAGTTATTATTATTTCTTGAGATTTTGAATTAGAGCACCATAACTATTAGGGTATGAGCATTAATATCAAATTGTTAAGAGCTATCTTTGAACATATATTACTTTGCATTTACCAATTACCTAGGTTAATAAAAAATAATCATTAAAGCTTTCTAACATGCTTCACTTATTTAAGCGAGCTTAATTATTGCCCAAAAAGGAAAACTTCAAAACAATACAAATCAAGATCAACCACACTAAAAATTAAGAATCCTTTATTAGCATTCTAGTGATAGATTATCACCAGACAACCAAAGTATTTTATTGCGTGATTTAATTGCTTCATAATTGGAGCAAGTATGCACGTCATAAGTTATAGTATAGAATGATATCGTCTACACAAGGATTGGTGAAATTCTGAATTCTAACTTCTTGCATTGTAAAGAGAATTAAAATTAGTGATAATAGGAGTTTGAATAATAAGTAAATAAATGAACAAGTAAATAAAAGTAGATTGTGATCGAATAAGAGAGCAGACCGGGTTATTGTGAGTTGTGGTGTGATAATTGTATGGCTAGTCTAGGTAACTGATTGCCAAGGCAACTCGATTGCCTTGACAACTGAAAATGATTCAATTGCCCTTAGCAACTGGATTCCTCCCTTCAAAGCTCAACGAAACGTTCTTCAATGTCTTCTTGTTATCCCTAACCCAAAGAACTAGTCACTTGTGCATGCCTTGGTAATACATCCCTGCGTTAACCATGGGTGAACAACAACCGATATTGCACTCTTTTAGCTGTTGAAATCCGAATCTTATCCTAAGATGAATTAATCTTCACCAACGTTTCGTTTGAATCAAGATCATGTTCATTCGTTTCTTGAATCTAACTCTCCCAATATTAGATAAATGGATAAATTTCAAGATCTTCTCTCAATTCACTCGAAATCAATTAAAGAACCAAGAATGAACAAACTTTGAACTTAAAAGGCAATCAAGAACTTAAACAAATCCAAACGTTTTCAGAACCACAAAAACCCATTAACCCAAGCCAATTTAGTTTAATTCATGGTTGGGTGCAAAAAAATACAAAATAAAAATTTCTCAACATGAATCAAGAAGAAAAGAAGAAGAAGATGTTTAGCCTTTCTCTCTAGTCGACCCCCCTTCTCGTGCGTCTTCTCTTCTCTTTTATAGGATATGCGTCCATTCCTTTGATTCTTATTGGAGGAGAGTTTTAATTCGAATAAAAGAGCTATTAATTCTCTTATCTTTAAATTTCATTGTGAACAAGACTTCTTCTTTCTTTAAACTCTGCGGGGAAATCCAATCTTTTAGGTTTTATCCCTTGTGTTTTATCTTAGATGAGGCGTATTTATCCAGTCAGTATTATCTGCACAAAATAATACACACCACAACATCTTTTCCACAAAAAAGAGTAAAATATAATATCAACTCAACGGTGAAGGACAATTATGTAATTGTGCATGAAATACCAATAATGCACATAAATTGAACTTTAGCCATAGTTATGGGAATAAGGTAGGAAAATTAGTACTTTTATACTCTTAACATATTTCCTCTTGGATGCTTGATTTTGAGGTTATCAATGACGGGAAAAAACACTGAAATAGCAGCTGAAGCAAACCTCAAAATGTTCAAACATATGAATGCAACAGCAAAAGCCTCATTTGTAAACACCCATACACCATGAACTTTCATGTTATTAGTAGATTTTAAGGTTTTGGGTTATCTTTGTTTTCTTATTTACTCTCTGCTTCTTACAGGCGTGCTAACAAGTAAAACCAAACAGTAGCAATCTCCTCTTGCCCAAGGGGAGTTTTTAAATTCCAGAAAGGATTAGATTTAAGAAATTAAACACGTGGCAATCCTTCAATCTAGGAACATATTACAAGTTTATTTTATAACGGAATGAAATTTGTTAACAATTTGTAAGTGGGGAAAAAACCACAGCTTAAAAAGATACCATTGCCATTGAAAACGAAACATAAGTTTGTGACGATCATAATAAAATGCTTCGTATTCTTCGTTAAAATTGTTTTCATAACATTCAAAGCTTAAATCGTGGGAAAATTATTAATTAAGAAAAAATAATACATAATTCGTGAAAAGGAAAGAAAAGTGGAAAACTGGTGTCTGATGTCACGGTCCATGAGTTGGGGTCCGTGGTTTGTGAGCTAAAAACCGCCCAGGAGATCTTATGGGCTTGCTTAAACCACTAAATTTAACCCGGGGTGAAATTGCCCCAATACAATTTATGGGTTTTTTATATAGCCCAATAGAACAAGTAGAAGTTTATTTTAGGATTTACTGCATTCTCTACAGTAATTTGGAACTTGTAATGTTGAGGTCACGAATTAAAAAAAAAATTATTCGAATTTTTTATCTTGATGTGACAAATTTTAACTAAAAAAATATTTTATTAGAATTCGTCATCACAAAGTGACGAGTTTGGATAAAAAAAATTATTGAAACTCGTCACTTCGACATGATGAGTTTCAGCATCACTGTAATAATTCTCATATTCTCCAAAATAAAAGATCAGGTGTCCTAATAGACTAAATAAAAAAACTAGCTTGCCCTAATGGGCCATAAAAACCTTTAACCCGGTCTTTGAAGAATGCTGTACTCCAACTTTAGCCTATCAATTAGAGTAGGATTTCAATTGTAATTAAATTAGGAAATAAATATAACTGTCCATGTAATTAAATCCAAGTCATCGGATATAAGGAAATCGGTTTTCAATTGTAATTAAATTAGGAAATAAATATAAATGTTCATGTAATTAAATCTAAGTTATCGGACGTAAAGAGATTTCATTATAAAAGGAGGCCCTCACCATTTTATTGGACATATTTTAGATTTGGGAATACAATTAAACATTCACACTAAATTATTTTTTTGTTTATTTGTGTCGCACATCTCTCTCGTGAGTATTCTTTCGTGTCATTCTAAGTAACTAAGCTTAATGTTTACCCTAACTTAACCACCCGTTTAATCAAGAAAGGTTTCTAAGGTAGCACGGATCAATTAGCAGTACTCTAACCCATGACGTTGAGCCTTGACCAACATAATAAGAGAATTCAACAAGGTCATGGGGTTAATCCTAGGAGGATCAGTCTGTTCAATGAGTTAGTGAAATCTCGTTGTATTTATCATTTTTGTCTTGAATTCGCACGTTGTCAATCTCCTTTTTATAATGTTGTCTCTTTTGATAAAAAAAACCCTCTCCTCCATAGTTCCCATAACAAAAAAATAAACTCATCAAGAATAATGCTGACTTTTTTTATTGGTGAAAGCTCTGTGAGACACCATCGTAGAATTGTCAACGGACGTTACGATAGTACTAGAGAAAATCGAAAGAGATATCTAAAAGCAAAAAAGTTACTAAATATAATTAAACATCTTATCGAATTAACTTTTGATTGAAAAAAATTTACCTTAAAAAAGTTAAATATAATTCCTAGAGAATCCTTGATGCAGTTTCTATGATCACTGCATGTGAATCCTATTTTTTTCAAATTTCAAATTTAATTTTAATTTTATCTAGAGAATAAAAAGAGAAAGGGTCTAGAGGACAGAAAATAGTACTCATAACGAGTCTAGAACTCGTGACTTAAAAGAATATGAAAAAATAAAGATGAACAACTAGATTAGTCGGTCAAATGTGTTTGTTCTCCTACAATGTTTTATTTAGATGATAGTTATTTATTTATTCCTTATATTTTTAGCGAATCGATCGTAACACACATCATTAAATTATGTATCTTATTTTAAATCTATTTTTAAAAATTTTAAATATTTCAATTTCATCCTTAAACTATGACTCATTATAAATTGATTCATAAATTTCTTAACATTTCAAATTCATCTTCAAACTATAACCCTCATTCTGAATTGGTCTCAAACTTTTGAATGTTCCAACAACATCCCCAAGATCATTCAAAAGTTTAGGGATAAAAATGGACATTCAGAAGTATGGCATCCAATATAGAATGAGGGTCATAATTTGAGATGAATTTAGAATACTCAGAAA